AACAATCTGGCCAAAATACCAGTTGTACTCCATCTTCGGAGTCCAAATCCAATCCTTTATTTTTTCAGATTTTGATGTTTTCTTTTTGTTTATTATTTATTGTTTGAAGAAAATATGTTAAAGGCTCAAAAAGTGCTGGAGATACTTCAGTCACCTGTGTTATGTAAAAGAGCAGCTTGTTCACTACAAAGAATTTATGCTTTAACTGATTAGTGACTCCATTTCAACGGGGCCTTAGCAGCAGTTTGTCCAAGACACATCAGCTAAATACATGTGGGTCTTGGTCCTCTGAGATTTTGAAACAGGACAGGCCTGTCCTGTCCTGGAGTGGACCTCGTCACGTCCACTCCACAGCCTGGAAAACCTCCAAGTGAATCAATTTAATGCTCTTAGCAGACCACTACTGCTCTGTTTGCAGCCAAAAACATCTGAGCTGAGATGGACAATATACAACCTCCACCCGCTTCTGACCTGCAACGACATTGTCAGGTTTGAAGATCCTGGTGGATGGACAGCTAAAGCTGCAGTTCTTCAAGTTCTTTCACAGTAAGAACCGAAGAAGGACAAATCATCTGACGTACCAGATGCAGTTTGCGTAAAACACAGAAAACTGTTAAAGAAACTCATGGAGCAGAAGACGCGTCTGGAGAAAAGGATAAATCCTTTTCTCCATCCAAATCTATCACTCCATCTTCTTCAAACACCAAAGTAGAGCTCCCTCGTGAACCTGTTTTTAGAAGACTTGAAAGAAAAAAAACCAAACACTGAATTTGTAATTTTTCTTTCTTTTCTCTTTTAAAAGGTGAAATATTATGTTTGTCTATATTTACCAGTGGTTGAAGTGTTGATTAAATTTCTACTTTAAATAAGAATTATTTATTCTTAATGTATAGATTGTTGTACTTTTTAAAAAAGGAGGATGTAGTGATATAACTGTTATCAGCTTTAGCCACTAGGTGTCGGTAATATCCTTAGTCTCATGTTGAAGCGCATGGTGTGTGGCAAAGAGAATTAAAACAGTGTTGACTGAACAGCTTCCCATTCTTTCTCCACTGAAACACAACAGTGTGGTCTTCCCACAGGACGGGGCGAAGTGCGTTCACTTCCAAATTGCACATATAGGCAAGTTGAAAAAAGCTCAGTCGCATCATGAATGGCTTCCCCTTGAAATAAAGGCTGTTCAAATTCGCTTAGATCCAGCAAAATGCCTGTCGAGAAACAGGCATTTTGTCTCAATGCAGTGTGAAGGGGCTTTAAATAATAATTGGGCAGTAAATGCATCTGAATCAAATCCTCTGCTTAACGATAATGACGACTCAAAGAGTCTCTTCACTTTAATTGCCTGAAATTCAGCCTCTTGGAAAGATATCTACACTCTGAGATTCAAATTGGATCCTAGCTCCCACTGGGCAACATGTAATTAATGAGGCACATCTGATGAAAACGGGAGCAAACCGAGACCTCGGTGGATGTTTCCTTATCTATCAGACGTGCATGAAGCTGATTTCTGACCACATAAATTGTTGTGCATTTGCAAAATAATTTAGTCAAAAAAAAAAGTTCTATGTCATAAATAAATCAAGTCTTGGAAAGCAACATCTCTTAGGAACGTTTTTGTGTTTTGTGTGAATTTCCTCTCAGGGTGTGGGTGCCAGTTTCCAGACGATTGCGTTTTGTGATGGAGCGTCCTACCCAGCGCATCGTCCGAACAGCTTGGATCAGCTAAAGGAGAGCGAGCAGCACTGACCGTCATTGAGGCATGAACTCATTTCACCTGTCTGGAGTCTGACAGGAGAGACTCCCACACTGCTGCACACCAGATGGCCAGAAAAACCTTATAAAACAATCCATGTCTGATTGAGTTTATGTGCTTATACCACATATAAACATGCACAGTTGATCAAAAATGGTAGCAATGACTGAAATTTTGAAAATGTTTCATTTCACTGCAGATACTTCTGTCATGTCCCTTGATGTTGTACATGTTTAATCTTCTTCTCTCCTGTTTTTCACTGGGTATTTTATTGACTATAACTTTCACCCCTCTGAAGCAACTTATAAAATTCCCGAGTTGCAGCTCTGTGTCACATATCTGGAACCTGCAGTTTAAGTCTCAGATCAAATCCATATGTGCATTCCCCGCAGATTAGCAAACAGTGTGTGTTTTCCGTTCAGTGGACTATTTTTGCAGTCTCATTGTGAGTGTTATCTGGAATAAGCACATTTGGAAACTCTCACAGCGGCGTAATCAAGTCGAAAGAGGAAAAAGGGAACAAAGATTATAATGAGGTGATCGTCTGTCGCTGTTGCTTTGTTAATAGGTTGTGTGGGATCATAACAGTATGTTACTGTATGTTGTGTCCCGATAAAAAAGGTATAAAACAGAAATGTTGTTCAGGTGTGTTTCCTTTTTTCAATTTAAATTCCTGTTTTTGTTGCATGTTTAAATTTTAAATGTTTGACATATTCTGCAGTCTTTCGGTGATCTTTATCTGCTACTACACTACTACAAATTTTAACGTACTACGATGTTAAGAGGCCAAATCACGGACACATGACATTCACTTTGACCGGGCCATTTCGACATATAAAATGCTTTGTTAGAGGCCATTTATTGGTGGTTCTGGTTGTATGTTTCGGGTTGGGTCAACTTCCACCCCAGTCTTAAATCTTTCATGGGAACAAAGATTATAATGAAATTATAATTTTTGTTTTTTGTGACTTTTATTTAGACCCATATTTTTGGGAGGATAAATTCTGACAAGCATCTTTGAAAAAAAAAAATTAATAAATAAATCTTCTCCACAGGATGATGCCACCACTACCATGCTCCCCTGTGGGGTTGAGGTATTCTGAGTGATATCTTCTTCCACATATTGTGTCCTTCATCTGTGGCAAATTGCCTGTCAATTTATTTCAACAGTCAATTTTTTGCTACCCTCTATAGCATCTTTTTAACAAACTTTCTTTCTGAAGAACAGGTTTGTTGCATGCTTGACCAACAGTTTCCCTGCTGTCTGCAACCTGAGTTGTGGATCTCAGCAACTCCTGCAGTCTCGGTGAACGGCCATGTTTTTGGAAGATCTGCAGATCTGCTGTCCTCTTTTTGTTTTTGGCAAGATGAATGGAATCTGATGTGCCGTGGTTTCTGGCTTACGCAGACCAGAAGATCAGAAAGGTCAAAATGCAGTTGCTACTTCTCCTGCTCTGATTCCTGCACCTGTTTTCTGACTGATGACTGAAGAGACTAATTGGCCAACTGGTAAAAAACCATATGACCACCCTGGTGCATAATGAGCTGCTTAAAACTTGCCTATTTACATCGTGAAACACCCACATCCCAAACTGAAATTAATTAACTAAATGATTAAGCAGTTTGGTTTGAAATTGTTTAAAACACATAGTTTAGCTTTTGATCCCTTGTTTTATTTTCACTTGTCTCTGGAACAAAAGAAACTCTGTTAGTTTCTGAGGTAACATCCGAGGAGGATGACATGGACATTTCTTCATGAACAGTTATGGGTTTTGGTTTTGTTTTTCTGGTGCCTTCAGAAACCAGATATTCTACCCTGACTTTTATGGATGTTTGTATGTTTGAAAAACTGATTGTCTTTAATTCAAGTCTAAGTACTGGCTGCCACATTTTCCAGTCATGAACAAATTGAAAACCAGTCTGTTGCGATGATTAAAGAGGTAAATAGTTCATAAATTAGATTCACTTTAAGAACCAGTTCAACTGCATCTGCTTAGATGTTTTTATACTTCGCATTAATTTTCACACATGGCTGTTTTTGTCTGTTAAAAACAACCACTGGCTCTTCCCTCAGAAATGACTTCCTCTCTGCTCAGAGAGCCTGTTTGTCGTCTCCACTGTTTGTAGCATCCAGTCCCAGAGGCTCTTTGCTCATTTATTGGTTTAGTGCAAAACATGTCAGACCAACACTCATTAAGTGCCTCTCTATGATTCTGCAAAGCTGCAGAAATGCTTTTTATAAAACTGATACTTTTTTAAAAATCCTTAGCATAGTTGTTTTTATTTTTTAACATTGGAATAATTGTATATCGACAATATATTGCTGTTGTTAGAATTTTTTTTGTCCTTTTTTTAATTTTTAATTTTAGTGTTGGAACAAAAGCAATTACTGCAACAAATTTGTGCTTCAGTTTCGTTCTACATCCCTAGAGGCAGTTTGATGATGGGAACTGGAGGCGATTCCCAGCTGTATTTCTGCTTTTCCACGCATGTCCCACTGGAAGGAGCGCCCAGAGCAAAGCCTGGGAGACTGCGTGACCAACGGGCTGCAAATGCGTAAGGAGCCCTGAGGAGGAAACAGACGCTGTCCCTGGAGAGAAGGACGTCATGATTTCTTTTGTGGATCGATTGATGTCATTTTTAGTGTCATAAAAATAACATGATTTTAGTTTAAATCATGACAGATTTGCTCAGACGTGTGCAGCACAACAGGACTTCTTCAAATATTATTTACGTGAGATATTGTTCTTACTTTTGTTAGGATGTTTTTCCTTAATTCAAATTAAAGAAAATTTATTTATTTTTTTTACAAAATTCAAACATGATTTTGAAAAAACAATAAAAAAAACATGCATGTTTCAATTACCCAATAGCCAATTTCAGCATTTACTATTTCACTTGTTTAATCCTTGATTGAATTATGTATTTTTGCTTCTATCTACCTATCAATCTACCAACACCAAATGATATAAAAAAAAAAACTGAGGTTCTACAAATAGACACTATTACAATACTTACTATTTTTCTGTTGTTTTTTTTGTCTAGAAAAACTGGATTTACTTTCCTCAAATAACACTAAAAGTGCCAGTCTTTTTTATTTAGCTTTGCCTAAATAAAAATGGTTTTAGGCTGGAAACTATGTGCAAATATTAACATTCCAAATATGAAAATGTTTCATAATCTTCTAGAAAAAAGCTCTTAAAAAATCCAAATAAAACAGTTGATTAATAAAAATTGCAACAGATCATCATGTAATAGAAATATATTTTTAAAACATGATCATTTTAAAATATTTTCAGCTCTTAACCAGTTTTATTTCACTGGACTAAGGGCAGAAATGACTCTTTGGACTGTAAAGGTTGCAGGTTCTTGATCGGAAGCAACCATAACAAACCAAGCTGGATGACAATCCAGGTTTATCTTGACACCAGAAAGGGAATTTTAAAATATTTCCAAGCCTCCATGTGATAAATCTAGCGCACACAGTTACATGACCTCCCTAACCACCATTTATTTTAACGCTCTTGTGGAAATCCTTAGCAGGATTACAAAGGTTGCTGTAACATGGTGTACACCTCCAGACCTTAAAATCAATCAAAAATATATAAAACACATTTTTTCTATTGACATTTAATATCATTTGAAATAAAAATGGCTCATAATGCTGTGAAAGGAAACTTTCCACTTCAGTCGTCCTGTGATTTTTTTTGTTTTGTTTTGATTTTTGAGAGGGATGAGTGGGACAGTTTAAAGGAAATAAAACAATACATTTGTGTGAAGACAACAAATGCAGCTTTGCAAAAGATCAAATCTGTGGGCAAATTATGTCACAAACTCTAAAATGCAACAAAACAGGACTGTGCAGAAGTCTTATATTGTTAGTGTTATAAACTTTGTGTCATCAGAAATAACAAGTTTGCCAACAAGGAACAAATAAATGACATAAGACAGAAAAATATCCCAAATAGTTAAAAATATTCAAGAATTAGTTTTAAAAAATGTTTTTACAAATGGCATATTCTATGCGTCAAGAAATCAGTGCAATGATTCAAGAGAGCCACCTAGAGGCCATGATAGAAATTACAGCATCATCATTTCAACCACGCCAGGCTTATTACATTGTTATTACATTATTAAATTGTTTTTAAGTATATTATAGCTTTATTTTGTTGGGACTTTTTGTCTGTCTACTTCTGTTAATTTCAGTGATTTTTAATGGTATATTGCTTAGTTTATAAACAACAGTCAACTATTGCTTAGTGTCTGTTCAGCTTCTATTAGTTTTTTGTACTTTGGTTAGTTTTGAGGTGCAGAATTCAAAGAGCTCAAATGGTTGATTATTTATACATCGATTGGATAATGAATACTCAACAGAACATGCCATTTTGAAAAAAATTACTCAATTACAGATAGCTGGAACCCACAGTTCCAGCTATCTGTGGGTTAAGTGCCGGCATGGATGAGTCTGGACTGCTGCAATTTGCTGACATCAGAGGTGAGATGCTTGTGTGAGGGGTTAAAAAAAAAACAAAATTCACATCAGTTGGAACGGGTAATAAATGAAAATATATAAAAATTCAGGAACACAAAACCAGGGACATTAGATCTATGATCTAAACTGAGTTAGTCAGTTTAGTTTCTGTTACTTATTATTTCGGAAAACAAAAATGTTTTCTCTATTTCTGTTTTTGTTATTTTGTTCATTTTAGTTAAGTATAGTAACTTTGCACCACACATTCTTTGACTTTTGGTACCTAAGCGGAATAGAAACATCGTCCCTGTTTTTGTTGCTCACAGCTTTCTTCTGACTCTGACTAGTCCAACTATGCTTCAAGAACTCAATTAGTTATTCTATCTGCTTGTTTTTCATTAGTCATTGATTTTATTGAGTGATATTAACATGCACTTTGGTTCATCCATGTTTCCTTTCTGGGCAGCATTTCAAGATGCATTTTTCCTTTCATTTCCCTGGGTGCAAACAAACAACCAAAGCTGCTCCCCGATTTGCCGTCGCTCCAGATGGACAGGTTAAGAAGTTTCTCTCCCTCAAATGGGGCTTTGAGGGAGGACTGTAGGTGCAGAGGTAGAAAAAAGGTGACAAAAAATAACTGAAACACTCCAACGTCTGCAGCCAGACCTTTGAGTCTGAATATTCTTCATGTGGCACTGGAAAATTCAGGAGTATCTCCGACTGGGAAGTGTCTCACACCAGTAAGGAGTTCTTGTTCTCACTCCGTCGGTGTCATGATTGGTTTCCGGAGCAAGAAAACACATATTTCACAGGAAAACAATGTGAAAAAGAAGACTGTCGAGGTTTTTCCAAAACAAATCCCATCGACCCTCTGTTGAGGTTTTTTACAGAACTGCCCCAAAGGCAGAAAAACCAAGCTGCCACAAGTTTTATCTGTCAGTGCAGGGTGGAGGAAAATGTCTTTGGAGACTCGGGAAGAACAGACAGACCTTCAGAGAGACCAGGAGGGACGTGAGTACTAGTTACGAGTCAAACACTGAAACCGGTTTTTGAAGTACAGGAGGCCGTTTTTTGTACGCGTGGCGTCAGAGGAAGCTGGCGGGTAGCGAAACTTGGCATATGTCTTGTCGCTTTCTGACTGCGTGACCCACGGTAGTTTGATTTTGGTTGCGTGATTGATGATGACGTCGTCACAGGAACCAACGTGGAGAGATCCAAGGCCGTCAATGAAAAACTCTAAAAAAAGAAGAAGAAGAAGAAGAACAGAGAACTCAGAGCATCGAATCACTCATCATTTTGGTTTTTCTTTTCAATAATATCTCATATTCGTATATGAGATAGTAAGCAGATTTGCTTAACTACATATAGTACTGATTGGTTCTTCTCTATCCTAGGAATACTGTGTGGTTCATTTATATTTTACATTTTTAAAGCAGTTGTTTGCATGTTAACTTTGTGAAAGACTTTTTTTCCTCTAAGTGTTTCGTACATGATGTGTTAAAGCATCAGGGTGGCAGCAAGCACAGATATTTCAGATCTTCTGTCAGAGTTAAGCACACGTCAGACACATATTTAGCAACTGAGGGTGACATAATGCTCTACACTGCAAACTATTGTTTCTTCAGATGAATATATGCATTCACATTAGTTTCACTACACACTCAACAACAAACATAGCACCGTAGAGATCAGGTTTATGTGCAAAACTGCATAAAAAGTGTAGGTGTCAACACCTACATCTCCCCGGAGTGTGATACTCATGCACTGCAGAGAGAATGTGAAAGTTAAATTTGAATTGTCAAAGTTTAAAATAACTACTGTTTCATCTGCAGCTGTTGCCCCAAAGCTTTTCTAAAAATATCCCAGTGAACACTGTGCTTCTTCTTTCTCTTAAGTGTGCAGAGGGAACATTAGGTGAGCCCTATTTTTAGCCGACATCGTGTCTTCAAATGTTGTTTAAATTATCCAGAAAGGAATAAAATGCACAGATTTTGTTGTTTTGATAGTAAATTTGATCTCAGTGTTTGGACTGCACTCACCCAGGTGAGCTACCCTGGCGAGGCGGGGGTCAAAGCCGACCTGCTGGACTTTATCCGTGCGAGCTAAGAAGAAGTTAATGACCCCGTCCGTCACAACACAGTTAGGAAATCCTTCAATTATGTGGTGAAATCCTCTTCTCATGTGCAAACAGTCTCCTTCTTCCTCTCCTGGCTCGATGGAGATGGTTTGTCGGTAAGTAGCTGTGTACCCTGTAGCTTCTCGCACTGCACCCCCAACCTACAAACACACAAGAATGGAAAACATGGAGTCAAATCTCTGCGGTAAAACTTTACAGACTCATTTTGAGCAACAATTTCTCTTCCAGAGCACCAACCAGATCCAGAGTGGTCCTCTCTAAAACGTCCACAAGCTTCTCCAGCTTCGTATTAGCAGTGAAGAAGAAGTCATCGTCCACCCAAAGCACGTATTTGGTTGTGACCTGGGAAACAGCCAGGTTTCGTCCAGCAAACCAACCCTACGACACAAGAGGTTTGAGCTCTACAGACTCAGAGAGAGTTAGCTGCAACAGCAGAGAGAGACGAGCTTGCTTACCTTCCCAAAAGGCATGATGTACTGCTCGATGTAAGGCCCAGAAATGGTTTTTGGGTTCTCGCTATCATCAGCAATCACTATCGTGACTGTGGGATAGTATTTTCTGATACTGTCAATAAGGTTTTGAAGCTTTTCATAACGCAGGAAGGTCTTTGTCGCTACAGTAATGAGCGCACTGACGTTGTACTCTGCAGAGGACAGACATATTTTATGTCAAACATAACATATTTATGCAGAAATCACTGGTTTGGCTGCGAGAAATAAAAAGATCATGCTACTGTACCTTCCTGAGGTCCAGTGTCATAAAGTTTTGGAGTTACTCCGTGACGGATCTTGATGCTGAAGGAAGCTTGATGACCTTCTGTCTCAAACTCCACTAAGGGGCACAAAAAAATTTGATTCGTAGATCTACAGACAGATCTATTTAGGAAAATAAAGACTCCATTTGAACAGTATAAAATATTCAAAAAAATATCAAGGATAAAACCATCATAAACCATCTTAGGACAGTTTCATTTTGCGCAAACTGAAAGAAGATTTGCTACAAATATAAAAAAGGGGATAACGGTAATTAATTTGCTAATGTTTTTATCTAAATCTGAAGACGTCTTACCTGTGTCTGCAGTGTTGGGATGATATTTTGTGTTTGTGTAGGTGACAAACTGCAGCTGTCGGTTCAAGTTCAGCAGCAAACTGCTGGACAGACTCATATGCATCCCTCCATCACCTTTTATTTTCACTCCCTCCACTTCTGCTGCTACGTTTAGTGTTCCTAGCGTGGCATTGATGTTTATCTGCAGAAGGATGGAAAATGAAATGGAAAAAGTGACAGAAATCCACAAATCTGGACGACAGAAAATGAAACAGGCGGATACTCACTGTGTAATGGTCTCTGTGACGGTCGTGTAAGGCCAGGCCTGAAACAAGAAGTTAATTTTTTAAATCTGACTTGCAAGAGTTTCGGTTTTACAAAACAGCGACAGATGTTGCTTTGAGAAATTTCTCAGTCAAGTTGTAAAGATTACTTCACTCACAAACAATGCAAAAAAAAAAAAAACTTTTTAATACAAGAATCCTGTTTGAGACAAAAGAAGTGTCATGATCCCTTCAGTTCTTTCCTGTTATTGTTTTTCTTCTTAATTCAGCATTGAATAAATGCTGAATTAAGATTGCATTGTTTTTTGATTATGTGTTTTTGTTTCTTTTTTTTAAGTGACCACAGTGGATTGAGTCATCACCCACTATTAGAGGAGTGGGCAATCCTGGTCCTCGAGGGCCGGTGTCCTGCAACTCTTGGATGTCTCCCTGGTCCAACACACTTAAATCCAATAGCTGACTCACCTCCTAAGTGCAGTCAGGTTCTCCAGAGTCCTGCTAATGACCTCAGTATTTGACTCAGGTGTGTTGAAGTGGAGATACATGTAAAAGTTGCAGGAGACCAAACCTCGAGGAGTTCCCACCCCTGCATGAGAGTGTCCAGACTTCATGAGGTCTGTCACCATGATTAGCATTGACCATAACACCATGGCAAGAACAGCTACAATTTCTGAGAGCTGCTTCCTGAAAATTAAGGCCACAAGAAGATCTCTGGTTTTCAAAGCGTTTCTGGAGGCCATAACAAAGGAGATGGCTGACACAATCAAAGCAAAAAATGTTGAAAGAACCTTTTTTCTTAAGTTAATGAATTAGGAATAGTTTTTAATCAGTATTTCAACATTCTGACCAGAAGTTAAACCCTTTGTTTGAAGAACAAATAATCCTTTGTTTTATTTGTACAAAGGGTTCATTCTACAGCTGTGATGGTCGTTATAAATAGTTCAGAGTGTTTCACTTGATGGAAGACTTGATATTACTGACTCTATTAAAATGCTATTTTAATAGAGTTGCACTTGTTGCTACTTGATGTAAGAAGAATTATTAGTGACTTTATTATTAAAAGATTTGACATAAAACTTTATGAAATCTTTATTGTTGGTCCTACTTCTTCCACTTTATTTCCAGCAGGGGAAAATATTGATATCTGTGTTGTTAAAGCTTTTGACAGTGTAGTAACACTTGATGACGTCTGTAACAAGTGCAATGTATAAGGAAAAATATGAATCGCACAATTATAATGATCTTGTAACTGTCACAGTAAAGACTAACAACAAACAACATTGTAGAGTAATAATACTCAAAGATACGTAACTTTTTACATTTTGTTAAATAGCTATTATGACATATTTATGAGAGATACTCTCATAAATATGTATGAAAGTACATATTCATTGGTTAATGTATTGGTTAAAGATTTTTGGTTAATGTCAAGTTGTCATAATGAAGATATTTTAAATGTCAACTTTAAAAGTGTCCTTATTTATGGCACTTTATGATAACAGTCATAAATATTCATGAAGACTTGATCTACCATATGTCCAGTTTTTCACTAAACTTTTTTGGGGAATTTGCTGAAAGTCAGAGAATCTTGGTCAATAATGTTATTCTGATTCCAGACTTTCTAGATCTAATCAATATATGGCAACAAAATTGTTTATTTCCAGCAAACTGCAGGTAAAGCAGCTAAAATGATTTTGTTTTTGTTACGTAGGTTGAGATTCGTTACAGATCTTTTTCCTTGTACACGTCTGATGGAGCTCCGCTGAGCTCTTGACTGACATGGAGGTGCTATAATTTGTTGTAAGAGTTTCTAGTTTCATCCTCTCAGAATCCCGGACCTGACTGCGTATAAAACATACATAATGTTTCCCCAAACCTAGCGATGCAGATTATCTCTGCTTGAGACGTTTATGATCAATATAATTATCAACGATGCACTTTAATTCTACATTTACATTTCTTTAAAGTCAAAATCAAACACTTTTCCAGAAAGTATTTCCAAAATTCTTTTATAATTAATTCTAAAAAATATAAATGTAAAGCATCACATTGAATTTATTATATATTTCTACAAATGGTTGGGATGAAAATAAAGAAGCACACACCTACAGACTGGAGGAGAAATGGATAGATTAGCAGGGGATGGATGAATAGACAGAACAATGTATGAACATCCAGATGGATGAATGGATGGACAGGTTCTGCAGTGACTGTCTCAATAGACTGAAACCACAGAGATCAATTACCCCTTTCTCTGCAAACTGCATGGCTTGCAATGATTAAATACTAAAAACACAGCGAATACTTATTATAGCTGTTTTGTCTCATATTACCAGTTTGGTGCAGTTTTGCAGCTCCCTTTTAAAATCCGGACTGATTGAAATCACTTTAAAAGACTAAATGAAAGTCAGACTTTTTGAATCCAAATATCTTGAGACATTGAGAAATGACTCAAGACTTTTACACAACATGCGTAAAGACGTCAGGTAAACTTTATACCTGGGATGATGATTGTTTTCAGGGGCCGCACTTCCAGCCCCTGTGTTGGATACTGCAGGGGATTGTTGGCCTCGGCGATGATGATCGTGTCTGCAGCAGTCTTGGATCTGATGAGGAAGGTTTTTGATCAAAACTATGCAGAAAGCAATCAGATAATCTTAAAACCAACTCTTTAAGAGAACAAGCAGAAAGATTATGTTTAATGTTGGGTTGGTTTGCTCTTTGAAAATGTCTGCCGGCAGGATGAGTGGCAGCCTTGACACATTCGTCCCAGCGTTCAATTCGATCTTTATCTATTTCTTGTCTGAGCTGATGCAAATAAACACCACTAGTGCCACAACAACCTTTTAAAAAAAAGCCAGCCTGAAGCCGTAGAAAGTAAAGTAGCACCTATAAAAAATTAACAAATAAAAACAGCCTTATATATATAAACCTGAATAGTGAATAGACTTTTATGAACGAGACATGCACTGTCACTGTCACTTCAACAAGGCTTTGCATTTCCTGTTTTTACTCCAGGTGAGAAAACAGTTCATGTCAGCAACCTTTTTGTCTGATTTGAACAGTCTGTGTTAATTATGTAACTCGTTATTGTCTAGATGCTGTTGGTATTTTATGCAATAGCAGAATTTCCTATTAAATTCATTCCACATATTTAATGATTTATGAAGGCACTCAAGCTGCAACCACAAGCTGCAATGCAATTACCGGTAACTGGGACTGCATGAAACAGACCAACACAAAGTAAACCATAGTGGTGACATGGAGGGAAAAGTCCATCCATCCCCCCAGAGACAAAAATTTGCTGAATCACGACTGTCCACAAGGGGCCAGTTGTAGCAGAATCCATTAATAAAACCCTCTACCAAACTGTTAAAATATTAAATAGCTGTCTCTAAATTCCATTATTATCTCTTAAGATTAATATGGAACATTTTTTATATGTTCTATATGCATCTTCAAAGACATACAGTGTCTTTGAAGACTCACTAAAATAAATTCAGTGAGTTAGAGTTTGAACCTAAATGTGTGAGTTTGTGAAAGATAAACTTACAGTAGTAAGTTGTGTTAACTTTGTTATTAATTTAGTCAAACTTCCAAGATTTTAATAAATTAGAGTTAATTAGAGTATTTCCCAGAATGCTTGTGGCTTGAGTTTATATTCTCAAGCCACAAGCCACACGGAGTCAAATGGAGGTGTGTTACATTGATCTGACTCTTGTGTGATTTTCAGACAAAATGTTCATTTAAATGTTTGAGTATAATGTCCTGTTCACACTAAACGTTTATAAGCAGAATTCATGAGCAGATTAGCCGTTTATTCACACAATTTTTAACAAGAACTTTAGTTGTTCTGAAGTGATGCAGTTATTTTAACTTGATATTATGAGGGAAAACAACAGAAAAATGTGAGCTGTTTGATGAGGTGAGAGAAGTTTTGTCCATATTGTGAAATAATTATTTGGTTTAAATTGCAGCATTAAGTTAAACCTCACAATTCAAGATTAATGAACTTAAAATGCAACTTATTTCTTGCTGATAAATCAACTTAAAGAACTTTAATTTCTGAGTTGAAACCAAAACAATTTTCTTGTTGAGCTAAATCGCATTTCAGTCAGACTTTTGTTTTCAAGTTAAAGCACCTTTAGATGTTTTACAGTGTCGAAGACAGATTAAAATTGCTGTGATTTAAACATAATTTAAGCACAAAAGTTATTATATTTAAGGTTCTATTTATGTGGCTCCCTTGGGACAGAGAGGGCCACATAAAAAATTATGGCGGACCAAATTTGGCCCTCGGGCCTTGAGTTTGACACATGTGATTTAAACCAGTCCACTCCAGTTAGATGCTTAGAGGTGAACATCTGTTCCCTTCCTATTTGTGTGCCAATGCACAGTATTTTACTGATGTTGCTTCCCAAATAAAAAAAAAGTTTCTTAAATACCTGGAGCCTCTTTCCAAGTGTAATTTACAAAATAACCTGAAACTGTCATAACAATGTACAGTGAATGAATATGACCAGTATTTTTTTTTTACAAGACATTTCTGTGTCTATTGATAAACGAACAAAAATAATAAGAAATGCCCTCATGAGTTTTGTTCCCAGACTTGTCTGTAACTTCCTTATTTACCTCAGCTGGAAGCCTCTGTACTCTTTAGCTCGTCTCATTTTCATTTCCTCCAGCTCAGAGGCGTCAAAGGCCGTGTGCAGAGAGTGAGCTGACACCCGCGGAAACAGCAGCTGTGCAAAGGGCAGGTTCACTCCTGGATTCTCACCCTCACAAATGCACCCATTACGTGCCAACAAGCTGAGCGGACAATCAAATTCACATGTAAGTAGATTTTAATTCACACATGAGGTCAAGTGAATTCTTAGTATCAAGAATACAAGCCTTACCCTGCTATACTTTTCCTGATATGAAAGGGGATGCTGCTTGACTGATGGTCCAGTTCTGGCAGCCTCTCCTCCGGGTGCCTCTCCACTGTCGGCCCCAGCCGCTGCCACACGTCCACCGTGTTGTAGGCACGAGTGGGCCATGAGTGAAGGAGAGCCAGTACCAGCACCACAGACACCAGGATGGCGAGCAGAACTGTCTTTCTCAGGGACCGCATCCTGAATGAAACCTGTTGCCCAAGGTGTAGAAAAAGGACCTTTCAGCTGTGTAACTGTCAAGTCCACGCCCTATAAGACACTGTGTGCCACTCAAAAAACCTCGGTGACAGATCCAGATCCCAGTAAGGCATTCTGCTTCTTCTCCTAAAGTGTGTAAGGTGGTTCGATTGCTGGTAAATACAATCCTTGAGTGAAGAATAATCGATATAGCAATGTAACTAACATCTGAAGTCCAACAAATACACTTTAGATTTGTAATAAAACCACAGATTATGAGACTCAATTTCAATAAACATGCTTTGTATCATTTACTATGACTAAATACAGACCAATAGTCCATATTAAAGACTAGTTGTGTTTATTGTTGCCATATTTTTATGTTGGGAAATACAGTATTTCAAAAGTTATCCATGTTGACGCAAAGAACTTTGCATCTGGTTTCATTTATTTTCCTGGCCAGAGTTGTTACTCGTTTTCCCCCCTCACCATTCTATTTCCTCGCAGCCACACATCTGTTCTAGCAAAACACAGTAAGGTCTTTATCCTCTTGATGTAACCAACAACAAAAAAAGGAATAATCTGCTTGTGAGCTTCAGTGCTTCCATTGGTCATGTTGTCCATATATATATATATAGCTCTGTTTATTAAGAAAGCATGTGAAATTTCACCCATTACTGAAAACAATGAAGAAAACACAACATAACCAAACAGAATCCATTACAAGCCTCCAGATGTGACGTAGTATGAATGGAGCCCAACACAAGCCTCTGTGTGTTGTTGGCTCTGAGAGGCTCTCTTCTTCTGCAGCACAGCTCAGGCCATGGTAATCATTACACAACAGATACTGCGTTTTAGAAAAACTAATTGATCTACGGTACTCAAATTTTACCTCACTGGTTTGATCCAGTCAGAGATTGGTTAATCTTTGTTGGGAGGAACCAGCTTTTCCAGAAACCAGGCAGGCAGTGATGTCTTCATGTGAGTTTCTGCTCCATCCGTAAGTAACTTAACTAAACAATCAACCCAGTAATTCTGGAAGTAACTGTGTCTTGTTAGTTTCTATTACTTGATTGATTTCACAATTAACTTTACCATAGTTCTAATCTAATAAATATGCAGAAATCTTCTTACTGCTAAGTAGCATCATAAAAACGTACGAAAAAATGCACATCTAAGGTTGATTATTAATAAATTGCTAAGACTCTTTAGTTAATAACTACTAATAATTGACAGCACTTTTCCTCATTACGTGTATCAGCATGATTTCAGTTCACACCCCTGTCTTGTTTACTCTGTCCTTTTTCCTCTTATGTCAGCTATTCTTCATCCTCCAATTTCCTTTGCCTTCGCTCACATGTAACTTTTAACTCTACTGGTTCCTTTCCCGCTTCTCTCCACACTATAAAGTCTCAGAGCTACCCTGACTTATAGAAATTAGTTAACTTTATTAGGCTAACAATAAAATGCACTGTCGTCTTAACATGTATGAAGTGAAAAACACAACATACTCATTGCTGAGAGTGAACATTACTTCATTTAGAGTTGATCTCACTCGTAAACAGTAAGTTACAGGCATTTCTTTCACTGTGCACTCAAAGAAAAAGTGTGCATGTGCAGATCAAATAAAACAGAAATGTCTCAAAATAATCTTAAGATGTTTTCTAAATTTACATAGTCCTGACGCAAATCATAATATATTTATATTTTCTTCGATTTCAGCGAGTATGGCAGTAACTTCTATCTGCTGCTATAGTTTGTGCTGAGCTCAGTCATGATGTTAAGAGCTGAAAGCGTTTAGCTACTGGATGTACAGACAAAACAGATATTGATCATGCCCCTTGACTGCTTGAGTATTCCTTCAATACACACCAGGACAGAAAGTTCACAACATTTCCCTGTTGAAATGTAACGTTTATCTTTAGTTTTCATCACAGGATTGGGGCACTAAATTATTTTACTTATTCATTTTGAACAGAAATGAGGCAGATGTTACAATTCGACATAAAAAAAAGCATAAAACTCCCATGTAAAAAAGGGGAAAAGGAGTAAATGAGTACAAATAAAATAGAAATACTAGGTTTTAAACATTTTTGGTGTCACCATCAACACCAAGCATGCCTGCAGGTGAGAAGAGGCTCACAGACAGGAACTATGAGGAGCGTTGTTGGGATACAACTGAGGGTTCCTCCCAAAGTGGCAGAATCACTGCTCGTTTGGGTCCATCTGTCTAACGCCACATCCCATCCACCGACCGACATCTGGGATAATAAAAATATATATATATATACATAAAAAATATAATAAAAAATGGGAGGATAACACAGTTCTCCGTCCTTCCGAAACAGCGGGGTTGAAATGCCAATCGGCGAGCAGCAAGCAGGCCCATTAGCCTGCACCTTTAACGGTGAAAATACTGCAGGGGAGCTCCATGCAGACCGCGAATGTACGCTTTACATCCTAAACCCATCTGACGAATGCGACCTCATCCTTCATTTAGGCAATCTCTTGCACACAAATACATTTTTTTTCTTGTCTGTTTCTCAAAAAAAGAAAAAAAAAGAGAAATAGACATGTTCATCAGGAGCTCGAAGCATCGTCCAAAAGCATCCCCCCCTTGAGAACGGGCCCTTTTCTCTTCAATCAGAGGCTTATTATTGAAGGAATTAAAACGATCCGGCTCCTCACCTCAGTTAAGACGCGCTCCAAGAAGTGTCACCTCTCTGCTGCACATTGCGCTCCGCTGCGACGACGGATCCGTTCCACGGCGGTCTGACGGCAGTCGAACCAGATAAAGGGAGCAAACGGGGTAGACTGACAGCAAGGCGGCCGCCGCACATCGCAGCACACACACAGCGGCAGCGCGCTGTGGATGGACGAATGGTTCCCCCCTGCAGAAACAGCGGCTGCAGCGCAAGCGGAGAGGCGCCGCACCTCCACGCCGAGAGCCAGAGGGATGTCTGAGCCGCACAAGCTCCAGCCTGCACTGGCAAAGGAAATGCTCGTTTATTTTAAAAATGCCCCATTATACTGGAGCGTTCTCGCGTCAAAAGCATGAAAGGCTTTTAAGAAAACAAAAACAAAAACAAATCGCTTTGTTGCAGCAATGTGTACAGTCAGAGTGCACTCTGGGAAACCCCTTCCTTCTGCTGCTCTGCTCACATTCCCGCACTCCTCATACACAAGCCCACTAAAGTCAGGACGGGTGTGGCTGTCAATGAAGTGGAATATGATTGTAAATGTAATTGAATGGCAGATTCCCACATCCTCCATTGAGGAAATGTTTTTCGGCCTTTTCAGAGCACAATTTCACGTTATTTGCACTTAGTATTATGTAAAAGTACCTCCCCCCCCCCTTTTTTTTAAGCTTTACATCAGGTTAGGACACCATTCCCTCATAAACAAGAATCAAGGTGTTGCTTTGATTCTTTCATGCATGTTTGAGATCCTTCGAGAAGCAGCTCCTCCTCTTAGCTCTGGTTTCCAAACCTCTGAACCTTTGCATTCAAGAACCCCTCCACATTGACTTCCTTGCTCAGGTCCTTCAAACTAACCAGCAACAATTATGCCAGCTACTGGAAGCAGAGTGCCAGAAAGAGCAAGAGTTTCTTAAAGAGACAGAGACTCAATTTCAAGGAATCAGATTCTGATATGCAGAGCAATTTTATAACAACTGATATTAAAATTTGTTGAGAATCAGACTTCTTTGAACCAAAAGTCACCTCAGAAGTACAGAATGCTACTGTATTTCTGAAGAAGACATGTTGTTGTGACATGTGGAAGCAACCTCTAGAACAGGGGTGTCAAACTCCAGTCCTCCAGGTGTCCTGCAGTTTTTCAATGTGCCAAAGGTACAAAACACTGGAATGAAATGGCTTCATTACCTCCTCCTTGTGTAGATAAGTTCTCCAGAGTCTTGCTAATGACCTATTATTGTATTCAGGTGGTGCAGCAGAGGCACATCTAAACGTTGCAGGATACCGGCCCTCGAGGACTGGAGTTTGACACCCCTGCTCTAGAACTTTAAATGTTTTAAATGTTATGCTGGTGTCTCTTTATTAACTCTTAACATTCAAAAGTTTGTCTTCACCTAGCACACATTAAACCCTGACTCCTTAAGCATCATATGCTAATCTGAAATTACTGCATTTTCAGGCACTTTCTTGATATCAACCCGGACCAAGGCCAAGATCAAGATCATCTCCAAGAGGACAGGGAAAACTTTTCAAAAGAAGTCGGGTCACTGTCATCCCCCGTGTTTCAACTCTACTGAAAACCTCATGGACTTTGAGTGGAATTTCATAGTGAGAACTTTCTAACCAAACTATAGATATTGTTGCCCCTCCACGCAAAATCAAACAAACAAAAAACTATGCAGGCATGAAGGCAACTTATCCCTGAACAGGAATATTTTTGAGAGATTTTTTTGGTTTAAAGGTCAGCATAATCTTAAGACATCTCTTTTAATTAAATTTTGTTAAGGCTCCCACTTTCTGTTCTTCAGATGTAATTTTGACTGTACAGGCACCATGTTTAACTTATCTTGGCAGTGTGTTGTCAAATATTGTTTCACTGTTTTATATTTTGAAGTTGGAGCTCTGATTTTGCCCTAAAGGAAATTCAAGTCTAAATGTTTCATTTAAATTTTGATCAAACTAAAATTTGCAATTTTTTTCTATGCTTTGGATTGAAAGTTAAATGTTTCATTTGTTTTATGTTGCATCATATTGTTCCTCACTTCCACAAAAAGTTGTATTTGTATTGAAAAGTAGTGTGCTGAGTTGTACAATGCATTATTTCCATAATTTATTTCATACTTATTTTATTTCAGACTAATCAAAAGGCACAATTCATGCTTTATTCAAATACTCTTTACATCAGTTAAGAAATTTATTTTACAAAATAGATGGTGATTTTCTTACTGTTTTTCCAGAATATGACTTACTTTGGACAGTTTACCCTCAACATTCGTGTAGAAAAGGTTTAGGTTTAAGGCACACATACATTGTTGTTTCAAAACCTTCGTCTTTATTATGTGGCCCACTAAAGACTGTGTATGAGTCAATGTTTAAGATAGTTCTTTTTTTTTTCCAAATAATGTTTGACATGATGGAACTTACATTTTCTAAGTGTTTTCTTTTCATGTTTCTATTTTATATTGGAAATTTACAGTAGCAAGCTGTATGGGAATTCAACAGTAATGGTACCATAGAAAAACTGTAATATACTGGCAACACAGCTGCCAGTAGTCTACTGTAAATCTGATTAAAAACAGCAATGTGCTGTAATCAAAAGATTTCTTTTGTGACGGTAATATACTGTAAAGTTGATTACAGTAAGGGTACTGTATATTAACGGTATAATGCTGGCAACCCTGATGCCAGCATTTTACTGTAAAAATACAGGGCAACTTGTTACAGTGTAACTAGCTATTTAAACAAGAAAGCGAAGGGAAAATCAGATATGCAGAACCAAAACTGATTTGGTTTTGTCCCCCTTTTTGGATGAGTGTGATGAGGTAGAGGGGATGTATTGCCACAAGGTTTCTTTGCTGTATCCACTCACGTGTTTGTAGAGGAAAATATAAAACTTCCACAGGGCTCCGAAATAAGGATGCAAAACAAAAATCTTTTTTGTGAGATATCCTTTACAAGAGCAGTTGTATTTTATCTAACCTTCACAAACAACTACGGTTGAAAAACCGTGTGGCTCTGTAGATAAACTAGCAGCGCCTTTCCTTTCTTCCTTGTTAACGCTACAGCGTCCACACCTCATTTGCATAAATTGCGAAATGGACACTTAAACTATAAACATACAACTTACAATAAAACACTCATTGACAACAAAACATTACAAAATTAGCTACATGCAGTACTAATAATTCTTCCTAAACTTCAATAAATTCACTTATTAAATTACATATTAAACAAAATGTTTTAACAATAACTGAATATTACTTCACATTAACTTGGCCTCTGTTAAGAATTAAAAAGAGGAATAACTTGCCAGGAATTTCTTAATTTAGCTCGTTAATTAATTCTTTGTCCCGAATTCTTGTGTCTGTGTAAGTGTGCAGAGAGAAAAGAGCAATCATACGACGTCAGACTTCAGATATTCAGAGTTTCATCCAGAGAAATTCAATCCAAGAACTTTACAATAAGCATCTCACCTAGATTTTCAAAAGTCCAAGACATGACAAAACAGAGACAAAGAACTGAGTAAAAAAAGACAAAAGAATAACAGAAGATGCATCCTCTGGGAAACTCTCACTCAGCACAAAGAGATTCGAACTTTTGCTGTAAAACAAACCATTTTTTATAGAATGTGTATTCTCCTCATTTAAATATATGCATTAGGAGGTGTGTTCTTTTCCTTTGTGTGGACTGTCTTAATGTTAATTTTATTACCTCTAAGACCCAAACCCCCAGCTCTTCTCGTACCAGGCTCCGACCTGATTTACAGCGTGGAACTGGAATGTTATCTCTGCCTCAAGATGCTTTCACAAGAAACTAGTTGGTGTTTTTTTTTTAACCAAGCTTGTACAAAATGTAATGCTAAATAATGACTATAAGTTTGGATCTAATAAGTAACTAATTCGAAACATGCTTAAAGAAATATAGTTAATTCTAATATAGATAAAATTATTTATAAAAAGTTTTAAGATCCTAGTGAACTTTTGAACCATGCTCAGGAATTTGTTAATTGCCTGGCAGACAGGCTCCCTATCTAAAGAGATCCAAGGAGTCTAAGACTGCTTTCTGATTAGGAATTTCTTAAGTTCAGAGAGTCACCAGCTGTCCCAGTTTGGATCTGTATCTAAGTTTATCTTATCTTTAAAATTCTTATTTCAACACCTCCACAGGGGAAAAAAAACAAAACAAAAGAGATGGATGATGTCAGGTGACAGACTGGACTCAGACCTGCTCAAAACATGAGGCAAAACATTGTAAAACTCCACATGTTGCAGCTAAACTCTAAGATAGACAATGTGTGTGTGGAGCAATCAAAGAAAGAAAGAGAAAAGGAAGCAGGAGGCACTCTCTGCTTAAATTCTGGATCCAGACAGTCTAACATGCAGCAGACTCAAAACAACAAAGCAAAAAACATAACATGAGAATAACACAGAATTTAACTAGCAAAACATCAAGCAAGCATGCAACAGAGAAGCAATTCACGAAAAACATCTCATTCAGCCCAGTTATGTGACAGTCTTACTTTTTGTTGAAGTCAGTCAGGTTCAATCAGTGTCCAAAAATCCCAAAATTGAAGGAAAAGATAAAAAAATAAAAAATCTAAATTGATGCATATTTCTTTTGATTGTAGCATGCTATTTTTAATAACTCTGCAGTAAATTTGCTGTAAATTTGTACATTTACATTTACAGTCTCTTATTTTTATCTTTCTATTTCTATATAAATATACATATTTTATCTTAGTTTGAATGTGCATCCATTTACATTCAACTGGGAGCTTGTACACCTGAGTGGGATAATATTTCCATTCTATTAGAGAAACACTTTTATTTTGGTCTTCTTGAGCTCCATGTCCATGCTGTCCTTGGAGTGTAATTCCCACAGCAATTGTCAAATCCTTTACTGGTTACACATGTGTGAGAGTGTAAATGAATGGAAATCCATATAAACCATTATGTCAAACATGAAGCACATTTTAAGTACTTGTTTCATCCCAACAGCGTGCTCTTTTTGTTGTTATCCGTCATCATTTAATCATTTCATTTAAAATTTGGCAATGCAGGGGAACAGAAAACGAAGAAGCCATTTGTTTCTATGCAATGTGCCTCTTCCATCACGCCAATTATATTTATGCATGCTTCTCTCCAAAAGAGTGTGTTTATTTTAGGAGACAGACGCTGAAAGCCAGTCGTTGCCTTGCAAAATCAACAGCGCCGCCCCTTCAAAATCTGTCCCAGTCTTTCAAACAAACACACCCCAGAAACGGAACGCCCGCTGACGGACAGGAATGTGGTCCAATGAGAGCACGGGATTTATTTCCAGTGACCAATCAACGTCTACCATGTCAAGCGTTGTGTGTTTTGTTGCCAGTGGAGCGCCTGAGGGAGGAGGCGGTGGTTACGATCAGAGGGTTAACGATGGCCGCTTCCTCGGTGCGGTGGCTGGAGAG